CTTCAATGCTGCCAGAAAAATATTTTCAATCCTATCTTTTGAGACTAGGGCATATGTAATTATATTTTTTACACGTTTATTTGTAACAGTGAATCACACGTAGCATACACATTATTTTTGAAATGCACAAATAACCCATTAATAGCAAACATAAATTGAAAAAAGTGCACATCATCCTTAATCGACACACAATATAAAGACCAAATCAGTGATGCTTCTTTTTCGAGCTCTTCTTCTTTTTCGAACTCTTTCTCTTGTCTTTTTCTGCAACAGGATAGGTATAGTATTCGTTTGGTGAATCTGGAAGAAAAGAAAATAATTATAAAAAATAAGATAACAAAGAATGAGCAGAATCTTCACATACCATCTTCAAATTCAACAATAGTCCCATCGAATTCCAAACCCCATACTATACTGCTAGTCCGGGATTCTTTTGTTGTCAAATTCCAATAATCCCCAAGTGGCCATAATACATCGCTCATAGAGTCCCAATCAAACACGCGACCAAAACAGTCTAGAAAAAGAAGTCCACAGTAACGTTTCCCGATAATGATGATATGATCAAAACCAAACTGTTTAACATCTCGCATATAACATATAGGAGGATCTCCACTTTCAAGATTACGGTTAATATAAGTTGCAACACGGCAACGATCTGATTCACTTGCGATCATATCAACTATCATTAGGGGATTGGTTGAACTATTGCGACACCCTCGAACTTCATCCTGCTTGCCACCCGCTGGCACTGGAGACATGGTTTCAGGAATATTTGCTCCTCTAGATTGAACGTTTGGGACAACAAGATGACACGGGGTCTTCGGTATTTCTTTCGTCCATGTAGTGCCTGCCAAGGTACCGATTCGGAGCAGTTGCCCCATTGATGACTGCAGAGTCTGGGTTCTTTCCTGATTAGGACAACATTCGATAATGCTGGTATAGCTTTCACTCTTGACTCCGCTATTGACCTGTTGTTGAAATATAACGTCCGTCTCTCCGATCTCTGTGTTGCTATTCCGCTGCGGACTGACGCTCCGAACATAAATAGTACAATCTTCCTTTTTTCCACCGAAAGCGTTAAATTCAATGTCGTTGGGCGACTCAACGCATTCTCCTCCATCATCTCCATTTTGTCGGTCAAGTTGATAAGCATTCTGGAAAGATATTTTTTCTTGTTTCGATAACTCATCTCCTCGAGGAAACTCATTCCCATGATGTAGTGCGTCCAAAGGAGACACACTACGTCCCACACCGTTATCATTAAAACTGGACGACAAAAAGGTGGCTGTACCATAATTCCCGCTGTACCGAATGGAATTACGGTTCCATTTGCCCTACATAAAATATGTATGATACGTTACATTCATTTTTTTTTTCTTTTGGAATAGTTGACCTCCTTCTGACATAGTATTAATATGGCTTGCTTCTCTTTGCTTAGTTCTTGGTTTATTTTCATATTTAATAGGTTAAAAATGAAGTTTTGGTTTTCCTTCAACATACCTGAATGGCATCACGAAATCTGCTATCAACTTTCTCGCCCATGGTTCTTTTAAAGTGTCTAACCAATAATAAGCGTATAGCCTTGAAAATGAAAATTATTAGTGCAAAAAAAAACGATTTGACGTTACGTAAAAATGTGTCATACTTTCGGATATACTTAGGAATATAAATATCATAAATATCCATAAAAGAAAAATTCGATACAGATCGAACAGATTGTGCAACGGAATTACTTGCTTTTAATGACTATATTGCGTAATAGATCTACAGAGTTACATCATAGTTACAGTAGAAATTCAGTCGTTAATACATATACAGTATCTGTCTATGGAATGCTAGGCTGGACAGAAGTTTAACGTTGAGAGTTAAACTGTTTGACGGTCAAGATTAACTGCGAAGTTTAAATGATTTGCTGTTATCATCAAACTATTTGACCTTACAGTCAAATTCTTTTGCCAATATCGTCAAACAGTTTAACTTTAAAATTATGTTACACAAAGTTTGCCAATAGGCAAGATTTAACATTAAAGTGCAAACAGTTTGCTAAGATAGGCAAAGCATTTAATACTAAAGTGCAAACAGTTTTCCAATAGGCAAAGTATTTAATGTTACAGTTTGCTAAAGTGGGCAAAGCATTTAATGTTAAAGTGCAAACAGTTTGCCAATAGGCAAAGCATTTAATATTAAAGTGTGAACAGTTTTCTAAGGTAGGCAAAGCATTTAATGCTATAAAGTATAAACAATTTGCCAAAAGGCAAAGAATTTAACATTAAAGTGCAGTTTACTAAGATGGGCAAAGCAAAGTGCAAACAGTTTACCAATAGGCAAAGTATTTGCTAAGGTAGGTAAAGAATTTTGTTGGAAAAATTTTTTTTTTAATAAAAGATTTTTTTTTTTTATAAAAATTTCATTAGAAGTTTTAATGGGATTTTTTTTGTTTTGAAAATTTTTAACAGAAAATTTATTGATAAAATATTTTTTTTAAAGTTTTATAATAAAAAAATTTTATAAAGATTTTTTTCTTTTAATAAGAAAAAGTATAAAATAAAATGTTATAATAAAATTTTGCATATATAACCTTTTATATATTTTATTAATTTTATTTTTAATCTTTAATTTTAGATTTTTTAATTTATTTTTTTATTCAATTTTTAATTTTAATATTTGTTATTTTTTAATTTCCTTAAAGTGCAATTAATTTGCTAAGATAAACAAAGCATTTATTTTTTTTTATATAGAAACTTTTATTAGTGAATTTTTTGGTAAAGAATTTTGTTGGAGAAATTTTAATGGAATCTTTTATTTGAAGAGTTTTGAAAATTTTTTATAGAAAATAATATTTTTTTATTAGTAAAATTTTATAATAAAAAATGTATTGGTAAATTTTATTTTATAAAGATTTTTTTCTTTAAAAGAATTTAAAGTATAAAATAGAATATTATAATAAAATTTTGCATATATAACCTTTTATATATTTTACTAGAATTATTTTTGATCTTTAATTTTAGATTTTTTAATTTTATTTTTTTTTATCCAATTTTTAATTTTAATATTTATATAGTTTTTTTTAATTTTTTTTAAAATATAAATAGTTTATTAAGATAGAAAAAGCATTTATTTAGGATCCCAAACTAAAGTTCTGAACAGTTCTGGTTTTATCCAAAAACTGAATCGGAACTGAATCAAAAATCTGTTTCAGTTCTAAAAAATTTTAATCCAAAATTTCTGGTTCAGTTCCAGTTCTGGTTCAGTTTATTTAATAATCTAACTCGAAAACTAAACCAGAAACCAGTGGAACCGATGAAAATTTTTTTTTTTTAAAAAAAAAAAAAAAAAATTTATATTACTTCTCTGCTCTTTTTTTTCAGCGGCTTCACGAAAAGCTGAAAGAAAGGCTTTTTTTTACTTCCTTAATTCTTCATTCAAAATAACTAGTCTACAGTAGACTTTCACTAATCAAGAAAGGGTTCTGCATCTGGAATAAAATGTTTCAGACCTTTATATTCAACCACTGAGCTTCACATTAATAATTAATCAGCATTGCAATAATTCTTATAAGAATGCAAATAACATGTATACTATGTCATATCTTCAAAATATCTTACAAAATATTTTCCCGTCCTTCCTAAGCTTTAGTTAGTTCTTAAAGCATGGTAGGCTTAAATATTATTTTTTTTGTTTTATTTCTTGTTCTTCTTTGCTAATATATGTTCTTTTCTTCTTGGTTTCTTTGCAAATGTAGTTGTTTCTTTTTTAAATAAACAGAACCTAAGCGAAGAAGATTTTTTAAGCGAGTGTAAAAAATCGAGAAGTGTGTCTTTAAGTTTTAGTACCGTCAAGCTACAAAAATTTGTAAAAAAGATATATATATAATTATACTGGAACTTAACGAGTATATAATGAAGAAAAAAAAAAGAAACCACTCCTTATATTAACCTCTAATTTCGTCTTCAAGAACTCGATTACTTCAGTTCTTTAATTCTCTATATATGGAAAGATAGCCTTTAATTTTTTTTTTCTTTTGTTGCTTGTTCTCTTGCTAATGTACGTTCTTTTCTTCTTTTTAGGTCTCAGTCTTTGCAGTTCTTCACAGAAAAATCAGAAACTTAAATAATAATAAAAAAAAATTTTCTTTCTTGTCCTCCTTTACTATCCCTTTCCTTCAATTTTCAGTTCTTGTGAAAAGGCAAGTGTTTTTTACTTTTGATTCTTTTTTTGGTTTCCTTTCCGTTATTTTTGCTGATTTTGTTTTCTCTTTTTTTTTTTAGATTTTCAGTAAGATCAGTGTTTTTCTTTTCATTTTTACGTGATTTCTTCATTCTAATTTTACCCTTCCTTTAGGTTCTTGGTTCCTTGCAGCTCTTCATAAAAGGCAGGTGTCGTATATCTTTTTTTTTGTTTTTTTTTTTGTTCATTCTCCTTTGCTAATTTCATTCATTTTTTATTTAGGTATTCGGTTTTTTGCAGTTTTTTATGGGCAAGCAATGGTTAGAATTATTCTTTTTGCTTCTTTCATTCTTCATTCCTTGTTAATTTCGTTCTTCTCTCCTTTAGGTTTTCAGTTCTTGCTGCTCTTCGCAAAAAGGTATGTGTTTAGAAAAGTTTTTTGTTTTTTTTCATTTCTTTCATTTTCATTTTCTAATTTCATCCTTTTTTCTTCAAGTATTCTGTTCTTTGCGAGTAAGAAAATTTTGTAACGCAAAACAATTTGAGGAAGATAGAGATAAAGGGAAGTTTAAGGTGGATGACGAATCAGTAGAAAAAGTAGTGGAAGTTATAAATGATTTGAGATCAGAAAATCAATCAACTTCCACGCAACAAAGTATTGATACGGGATCAGAGAACTACCCCAACAGCACCCAGAAAAATTCTTCAATCACGTGATATTGTGGCACATATGTGGCACATATTCTTATCATTAATTGGATAAACAAATAATTATACTGTATATCGATCATATCAATCATCTTTTTTTTCTCACAAAATATAATACGTTAAAAAAAATATAACCCGTCTTAAAAGTTAAAATTTGAAGATTCAAAAGGTATGTATACGCGTATATTATGGTTTTTTTTTATATTTATGTATTTAACAACATAAAATATATAATTACGTGTATATTATATTTTTTTTATTTTTTTATTTATAATTATGTATTTAACAACATAAAATATGCAATAAAGATGACTTCTATCAGTAAAAAACAATGTTCTAAATGTTATCAGCATTTTGATACAAATTTTTTTACAAGTAAAACTGGACGTGATTTAAAAACATATATTAATTGTCAAGAACAAGCAGCTACTGTTTATCGGACTCATTATCTTAATGATAAAGATCAGCTAGAACAATTATATTGGAATAATGTTAAAAAAAAGCTCTATGATAAAATTGTTGAAATTGGGAGTAATGAATACTTGGAAAATAAGGAAAATGGTGTTCTTTTTTCATGTATTCTTATAATAAAAAATGAATTATTAAAAGAAGAGCCATGTAATATTTCTAAACAAGTCGCAAAATTAGTGGAACAAGCAGATGGCTATTATTATATGTGAGTGTTTTTATTACTAATATTATACTAAAATAATAATTACTATTATATTTATTAATTATTATTATACTTTTATATAGTTNTTCGAAATATTACACTAAATTACGCCTAAACAAATTTCCTGATGTACGGGATCAGAGGAGAGAGTCACAAGAACAGTATATGTAAAAGATAAGATAATACGATTAATGAAGAAGGTAAACTAGGGGAAATAATTTAATATTTTTTCTTTTATTTTACGTGTATTATTGTTTGAATCTATAGTGTAGTTTAAAAGGTTAATAAATTAGTTAGATTAATAGTTTTAAATTAGACTTAGGCGAAATTCACAAAAAGTAGGAAATTAAAATAAAAAAAATAAAATAAAAATGAAATTTACAATTAAGTTGCGAAGTTGTTGCCGCAGTATATTTATTATTTTAAAAAAATTTTTTGAAATTAAGCATCATGTGATCATAAGAAAAATTCAGATAAATTTTTTTTAATTTACAATTATAAGTTGCCGCAGAAGCTTATATTAGAAGCTGCATTTGCCCATATTTTAAAATCCAGCCCGATCCAGAAATAATATATGAATATATATGCTGACCTGGGCCAGCCCAGGCCTTAAATATATATTTTATGCCAACCCGGCCTGGCCCGGATTCATAATATCAAAACTCAGCCCAACCCGGAATTCTTATAATTATTTAGTATATAAATGTAAATCATTTTAGTATAGTGATTTTGGCAAATCAAAATAAATTTATATGTAGATCATTTTTGTGTAGTAATTTTCGGCAAATCAAGAAATTCAATAATAATATTCATTTATATAAACAGTTGAAACAAAATTCACTAATTATTTGAAAATGTTGATATTTAATATAATACATGTCTCTTATACACATCTGCAAAGATCGTTCATTCATATGTAAAGTTAAAAACAGTGTTTAAAATAAGCTTTGTTTCACTAAGTAAACTTGTAAAGCAGGCCAAATACACTTATTCTATAACTTTCATACTTACATTAATCTTAGTTCATAAAAAAATGGCCTATGATGTTTGGCAAAAAAGACTTAGCAGTAAATATTAAAATAAAAGTGTTACGCTAACTGCAGATGCTTTATTAATATATGTTTGAAAATACATGTGTAAGAAATACTATTTTTCTAATGGTAGAGTCTGGACACCGTGTCCGGGCTCGGCAAAAATGCGCAGGACATTAACAAAGTTTCTGTTTTAAGACTTCGGCCATTACATAATCCTTTTCATCCTTAGTTAGATTTAAGATGAAACCTGAGGGGTGGTTTTAATCCGCGCTATTTTTTCTTTACCTATGCCATTAAAAGTTTATACATCTTTTCAGATTTCACTGTCCTATTTCGCAAGCCAGAAAAAAAAATCACATGGCTAAAATTGTGTCTTCAATGCTGCCAGAAAAATATTTTCAATCCTATCTTTTGAGACTAGGGCATATGTAATTATATTTTTTACACGTTTATTTGTAACAGTGAATCACACGTAGCATACACATTATTTTTGAAATGCACAAATAACCCATTAATAGCAAACATAAATTGAAAAAAGTGCACATCATCCTTAATCGACACACAATATAAAGACCAAATCAGTGATGCTTCTTTTTCGAGCTCTTCTTCTTTTTCGAACTCTTTCTCTTGTCTTTTTCTGCAACAGGATAGGTATAGTATTCGTTTGGTGAATCTGGAAGAAAAGAAAATAATTATAAAAAATAAGATAACAAAGAATGAGCAGAATCTTCACATACCATCTTCAAATTCAACAATAGTCCCATCGAATTCCAAACCCCATACTATACTGCTAGTCCGGGATTCTTTTGTTGTCAAATTCCAATAATCCCCAAGTGGCCATAATACATCGCTCATAGAGTCCCAATCAAACACGCGACCAAAACAGTCTAGAAAAAGAAGTCCACAGTAACGTTTCCCGATAATGATGATATGATCAAAACCAAACTGTTTAACATCTCGCATATAACATATAGGAGGATCTCCACTTTCAAGATTACGGTTAATATAAGTTGCAACACGGCAACGATCTGATTCACTTGCGATCATATCAACTATCATTAGGGGATTGGTTGAACTATTGCGACACCCTCGAACTTCATCCTGCTTGCCACCCGCTGGCACTGGAGACATGGTTTCAGGAATATTTGCTCCTCTAGATTTAACGTTTGGGACAACAAGATGACACGGGGTCTTCGGTATTTCTTTCGTCCATGTAGTGCCTGCCAAGGTACCGATTCGGAGCAGTTGCCCCATTGATGACTGCAGAGTCTGGGTTCTTTCCTGATTAGGACAACATTCGATAATGCTGGTATAGCTTCCACTCTTGACTCCGCTATTGACCTGTTGTTGAAATATAACGTCCGTCTCTCCGATCTCTGTGTTGCTATTCCGCTGCGGACTGACGCTCCGAACATAAATAGTACAATCTTCCTTTTTTCCACCGAAAGCGTTAAATTCAATGTCGTTGGGCGACTCAACGCATTCTCCTCCATCATCTCCATTTTGTCGGTCAAGTTGATAAGCATTCTGGAAAGATATTTTTTCTTGTTTCGATAACTCATCTCCTCGAGGAAACTCATTCCCATGATGTAGTGCGTCCAAAGGAGACACACTACGTCCCACACCGTTATCATTAAAACTGGACGACAAAAAGGTGGCTGTACCATAATTCCCGCTGTACCGAATGGAATTACGGTTCCATTTGCCCTACATAAAATATGTATGATACGTTACATTCATTTTTTTTTTCTTTTGGAATAGTTGACCTTCTTCTGACATAGTATTAATATGGCTTGCTTCTCTTTGCTTAGTTCTTGGTTTATTTTCATATTTAATAGGTNAAAATTGTATTTGTACTAAATTTTCAAGTACAAGTACAGTACTTAGTACTGTACTATAGTTTATACTGTACTAGTACTGTACTAGTACAATTTCCAACCCTGCTTACAGGTACATGTCAGATTTTATTTTCTTTTTAAAGGATATTTATTTTTGTTAATTTTAAAGAATTTAATGCATAATAAATTGTTTTATAGCTAGTAAATTTTCAGTTTATATATCAGAATATATGAAGTTGAAATGTAGTCTCCATCTTAAGAGATTGAAATATTCAGATAGGCCCGATCGATCACTTTGGACAGATAGTGATTTATTAATCAAAACTATTAAAGCATTAATAAAGACAGAGAGTTAAGGATACATTTTAGAAGATGACTTGATTAATATTGTTGGTCCTAAACAAATTGATTCGCTTGTAGATTATAATTTTTTGCACCGTAGGCAAAACTCAAAATTTGCTTACGATATCATCAACCTACCAGATAATCAAATTCTGACTGCAATGAGCTAGTCATTACTGTATGCGATTAAGGTTACTTGCCAAAACTAGAAGATTTCGGCAAGATGGTATATGCGAAACTGCCAAAACTAGTTTCGCAAAATCACCTTAAAATGCTGAAATGCCAAAACTACCAAAACTTGTGAAATTGTTTCAATGTTTCGGTATAGTATATCATATGATATACATATAGTTTCAGCATTTACTATAATTTGTGGTTTGCAGATTTTATTCTGATCGGTTTCAGTACATTATACATGCCACCCAAATTATTTTGAACTGCCGTAATTATAAGTAAAATTCCAAATTCAATTATGGCATCCCTAATTATTTTGGCACTTTACATAGTAAATTATATATAAACTGAATGAATTATGGCATCCCAAATTATAATTATGGCATCCCAAAATAATTTGGGAGCATGTATACGGTACATCATATGATTTACTGATCATACTAATTTACTGATCTGATAATCTTTTTTTATTAAAAAAAAAAGGTTAAAAAAAATGTTTTATTGTTTATAGTTGGAAAAAATAAACCCGCTCTAAACATGAAAGGTTGGGTTTTTAATTTATTTTCGTTAAAATGCCTACCAAAAAACTATTTCATCATAGAGCTGACTTGTTAAAACAATCCAATAAGCCATTTAAGTCAAAACATGCAATTAAAGGAATCATCAGAGATAAAACAAAAGACGAAATTTTTTTTGCTTTTCGATAGTAAAACATTTGAAATGACATTAGTATTATATCAAATTTTTTGTCTCATTATTTATTTTTTTTGTAGGAATGTCACTAACATTCCTTTTCTCTTTTTTTCTTTAGGGACACCTTCCGTACCTGGAATTCGGTGAAGTGATAGATTGGAAAAGGAGGTGTAGTTTTATTTTAATTATAAGAACGTACCTAATGTTCCTTTTCTCTTTTTTTCTTTAGGAACACTTTCTGGACCTGGAATTCATACGTTGGAAAGGGGGAAGTGTTGTTTTATTTTAATTTAGGAACGTACCTAATATTCCTTTCTCTTTTTTTACTTTAGAGCATTTTCTGGACCTGGAATTTGGTGAAATGATAGGTTGAAAAGGGGGAAGTATTGTTTAACTTGTTTAATTCGTGATCCAGATGTTGATCAGTGAAAATCCATAGATAATCAATATACATTTGGGGATAAGTGATCTTATACAATATAACGCATTTTAGAATCTTTTACTTTCTTATATAAACTTATGTCTAAACATAAAGAATACACAGTTACATTAATTTCTTCAGGCCTAATAGTGGACGCTCTACATTATGGGCCTTTTTGTCATAATTGGTGGATTTCTAGACCTTCTGAAAAACGCGAAAATCCAATATTTCTTTACCCTATTAGATTACGTATGAAAACTCTAGTTAATTTAAAAGACTGGAACTTTATTATTGAGGTTGTTGAAACCTTTTCAAATTATGGTCAAATACCTGGATATATTTGCAAATGTAATGGTATTCAAAGTGAACTCTGCGAATCACTTACAGCTGCAGTTAATAGCATTTATAAAGAGATCTTTCAGACAAATGCCAAATATTCGGGGTCTGCAGTAATGGAATTTGACATACCAATTATTTCTGAAGCATTACTAAAGGATTTACCATTTCGTGCTTTCCTATTTCCTTTAGAAAAATTAAATATATGGGTATTGGGAATTGGAAAATTTAATAATAATGAATGGAATTTTGCTGGAACTAGATATAAGACTTCTTTTATATACACATATCGAAAAAAAAGATGTGTCTTTGTCCAGGAATTAGAGGATGATTATTGTCAGGTCACAATATACTTAGGAAATGAAATATGTAATATTTATGTTGATAATAATCCAGAATTGGTATGGAAAGAAGTTGCAATTTTACTACAATATGAAGGAAAAGAATTGTTTGGGTTGGAAAATAACAAAATACAACAATTGGTTTTGTCAACGCCTAGTTGTACATTAGAAGAATGGAATGATGATGACGTGATGAGAAGAATGTATTCACATCATCTTAGACGACAAATTCCAGCAATTATCAACTGACAATTGTTATTTAATGATTGGCGCTCTGAAACATCTACTATAATAGAACTGCGAACACAATTTAAAAAATTATATCCATTTAATCACAATATCAATGATCGAGAGTTACATGCATGGAAATCAATGTTGAAAAATGTGGGATGTACAAAAATTACTCCCTTTACTAAGGAACAATCAGAGGTTAGTAAATTGATAAGAATAATTGAATAATTAGTGAATATTAACTAATATTTGTTTATTTTAAAGTGTGAGTTTTGGTCTAGATCTTCCACTCCAAATGTTGATCAAAAAAATCTGATGATACTATACAAGCAAGGATTTATTAATCCAATACCAGTTCATTTTCAAAATAAAACTGAGATTTTTTGGGATTCATTTCAGAAGGCAGTAAATATTAACAAAAATGGGTATGATGGAAAAACTCGTATTTTATCTATCATTGCTAAAAATTTCCTTACGAGGAAATTAAAAGTAATTTGAATGTAAGTAATTTGCGCTAGTTTTTTGATTATCAATAATTACTAATGTAAATTTTTTTAGGTATCAAATGATGCAATTCGTTATGCACGAAATCATACTCTTATACATGGTGCTGGTGGTCAAGTTTGAAATAAACCTGTAATAACACGTGAAAAATTATCAACTGAGATGCAAGAACAATTACAGGCTTTTTTAATGGATAAAGCACATGTCATAATGAGTTCATATAAAACAGATGCAGCAACTAATGAACCTGTGCATTATCTTAAGCAAACAAAAACAGCACTTTGGAAAAAATATTATGAACAATATCCAGATGGAATTCAACGAACAACATTTTTTACCAAGCTGGAAGGAAATAAATATATTTATCGTGAAAATTTGGGTGGTTTGTGTTTAACCTGTCAAAAATATGGATATGAAAATTTTTCAGATCTTATTGAATACATTAACAAGTATATTACACAATCTTATATACAGGTATTTATTTATTTGATTTATTAGTAATTTAGTAAATTTAAATAAGAAATACTAAATTATTAGTAAAACTAAACTTTTCCTTTTTAACATTAGAAACAACTAATAGTACGCTGTGAAAATCTGAAAAGATTTTTAAAACGTGATTATGAACAACATTTTCATGTAACTTCAAATGGCAAGACTTCCCACGATCCATGTATAAACCATTGTTTACTTTATGCTTTTAACCAATGCACAGAATCTCACACATTAACATGTAATGAATGTCAAGAATTCTTCAACTTTTTCGCTGATATTAAAACTCATAGTAATGAAACAAATTATAATGATCTTCTTGATATGAAGGAACATTTGTTATATTATCTTGCACATCAAACAAGAAAAGTTTATTTGAACGCCCAATTTAATGCCAATTTGTTAGCATTAGATGAAAAGACTGCTCTTTTTCTAGTTGATTACAAGATGAAAATTTTGCCAAAGACTGCTCGAGAAACAAAAAATGATTGGTTTGGCAAAAGGGGTTGGTCATTGCACTCTATTTTAGTATATACAACAATACCCACTTCAACCAAACTTCAAGTACAAGCGTTTGACCATTGGTCTCCAGATACCTGACAAGATTCTTGGTTTACGGCCACTTCACTTCACGCTGTTCTTGAAACATTAGACTCACGACCAGAATCTGTTATTATAATGTCTGATAATGGTGGTCATTACCACAACACGGATTTAATGATGATTATGGCTTTTGGGCCAAAATGGTATAATGTAAAGGTTAAGAAATGGGTTTTTCTTGAAGCTGGTGAAGCTAAAACGGCTATAGACTCTCATTATGCACAGGTAAATTAATATCCAATTATATGTATTTTTGTAATATATACACTAAGCTAATTTGGGTTGTTATAACAGATTTCACATGCAATAAATCGTTATGTTCGGTTGGGATTTGATATTCAAACAGGAAAAGATATTGAAAATGCAATTCAAGATATTCGGAGAACTTCTGTAGCTCAGTTGGTACCTAATCGAGATCGTGGTATATTATATAATTATAAAATTAGCATCATGTATTTTTATAATTGTGTAAATTATTACAACGCAATATGTAAAATAAATTTTTTTTCATTATTAATTACATCTATCATTTTATTACAAAATTGTAATAAATAATATTACCAATAAAGGTAATGAAAGTAATACGTTGCCAGGCAATTCAAATTGGTTTGAATGGCAATGGCCAACTTCTGGAGATTTTGAAGGATGTATATTAGCACGGTCTATACCCAATCTTGGACCTTGGACTACATTTACTCCTACGTAGAAATGGGGACAGTTCCATCAGTTCAGTTTCAGTTCTACTAAGCAGTTTAACCAATTCCGAACCGGTTCACTCAAAAAAATGGTTCTGAGCGGTTCGGTTTCAGTTCAGTTCTGCAGAACGGTTCTAGTTGGTTCGAATCTGATGAACGGTTATGATAATTCTGGCCAGAATCAAATGATTTGCACAAAAATTTCATTTTTTTGAATTTTGTGTAATCCAATTTCCATTTTTTATAAGGAGTTGAATTTCCTTTTTTGGATTGTATAACATCACATGATCGGTTTAACCGAACTGAACCGCAGTTTGGTTTGAACCGGTTCTCGGTTCTGGTTCAGTTCTTGGTTCTGAACCAGGTTCGAACATCCCTACTCCTACGTAATTAGAAAAATTACAAAAGCATGAAATTGAAAAACCTAATCCAAATATATCCACCCCTACTATTTCAAATTCTAATTGGGAAATTCCACCTCCTAATTCAGAATATATGTATCATGGAAATTATTTTGATTCTTTACCGATTGCTTCACAAAATTTCCCATTTGCACTTTTTCACCTTCAATTTTGTCAGTTTTATTCTTTTCATATTCTTTCTTGCAATAGGATAGTATTAGTAATTAATGAGATACTACTGTAATAGATATTCGACCAGAACGTCTTACAAAACAAGTTCTTGTAAAAAAATTACAATCTAGAGGAATAGAATTGAATGGAAAGGAAAATAAAGAAGAATTAGTAATTAATCTAGAGAAAGAATTAAATAAAGAAGTAGAATGCAAAAAATTGGGTGAAATTAATTAGCAATGATTAATGCTTTCGTTCAAAGTTTTTGATATTTGAATTATATAATATATATTATATAGAACCAGAAAGAATAGTTGGTGTGTTAGTACAGTCCCCTCTCGATATAACGAACCCTAGGTTCCAGCTGATCAGGGCTTCGTTATAAGCAACTTCATTAACACTATAACGAATTATTCGGTATTGTATAATGAATTCTTCGGTATAGGAATATCGGTTATACAGATCATGTGACTTGTTGATCTGATTACCGATAATTTAACATTTTTTTTAATCTTTTTTTTATAGGGGTGCTTTCTAAACTTCAAAATAGATGCCTAGAATGAGAAGTAAGTGGGAACTGGGGGTTTTTTATATTAATTTCGTTTAAGAACATTTACTAATGTTCTTTTTTTATTTTTTTTTATAGGGAATGCTTCATGAAGTGTTCTATATAAAAATGTTTATTATAATTCCTTTTTTTTGTAGGAATGCTGTTTAACAATAACTGACTATATAATAAATAAATTATTAATGATATATTAATTTAACTAGGAGTGTCCTTACCCCTGTGATAAATATAAATTAATAACAATTCACATCGAATCCTAATACAACCGAATTAATGTAAATTAATGTAATTCTGCCTAAATATTAAATAAAATAGCCAGAATTATTAATCCTGATACGATCCTGATACAATCCTGATCCATAATTTAAATATAAAACACAGGGGTGATATTTAATGTCATAATGCATCAATATTTATTAATAATTACATTTAATTATAAAGAAATTCTTCGTTATAACTGAAAAAAATTCGTTATAAAAAAAATCCGTTATATCGAGAGGCATTTTTATATAAGAAATTCACACACTTTACTTCGTACTATGTTATACGGTAAATAAATAGTAAACTTCGTTATATCAAGGTTTTTTTCATATTTAAAATCGGTACCACACTGTATGATCCGTTATATCGTGTTATTCGCTATATCGAGGTTCGCTGTAGAGAGGGGTGACTGTAGATGTAACAAACAGCCAAACTATATGATGGTATGTTTACACTCAATTTATTATACCAAAGATAATGAACATTTACTTACCTATTTATTTATTCGTTATTTAGTGATGTCAAGGAAGTATATCCACTGCAAATCGGCTGGACTCTAAAGGAGAACCAAAAATTCGGTAAAAAGGGAGCAGGAAAAAGGATGACAAATCAAGTGAGAGCACTATTAGAAGGATATTTTGTGGCAGGTAATGCAGATAAAAGTAACCGTTATACCGCTCAAGATATGCAATGTGAGTTGAAAAAGTATGCACAGGAAGGTAAGATTGACAAAAATGACGTTCCAAAAGTTATCACAATTCAAAATTGGATATCAAAAACTACCAAAGAGCATCGTGAAGAGGCTGCAACTAGAGTTTTGAATTATAATAATTTGTAAAATTAGGAATAATAATAAAGATATTACCTTAAAAGGTCATTCGTTACCAACAATTAAAAAAACATAAAATTTGCAAAAAATGAAATAATAATAGGTTTATTGAATATATAACGTCTTTTGTGTCATAATAAATCATAAAATGAATAATTTATAACCGGCAATTAAGAAAGTTCATAATAGTTTTTTCCCAAGAATCTGCCGTTACCACAAAGACAAGTTATTTTTTTATTTTTATTGGATAGGAAATTAATAATTCATTTGAAAGCTGTGGTTTTTCTGCTATAAAATATTGCATAACATTTTCATTTTGTTATACTAAATGCAGTGATATCTTATCCACAAAAATGCCGATTAAATGAATTTTGTTAAGTGATCTACAAAATTTCACCCCATTTTTAGATAGTAATTTTCACTGATTTATAGCCAGATCTTGAATTAATTTTAATTGTAGGAATGTACCTAACATTCCTTTTCTCTTTTTTTACTTCAGA